CGGTACTTTTGCTAAAGATATGGAGAAATCTCTAGCAAAGAGGAAGAGTTTGCATCTATAATGTTTTAGTTTACAGCTTTAAGAGCAGCTTCTTTCACAGCTTGAATATGAGGATTCTGCATGTTACTTTCTTGGGCACTTTAGGGGACAAAATTGGCATGTTTGGAAATCAAAGGTGGCGGATCCAATATGGCCGCCAAATAGGTAATTTCATATTATAGCAGCGCCATAGGTAGCTATAACACCTGAGTTAAGCTAGTATCCAGTTGTCATCTAGAACAGATTTTTAGCAAACAATTTATCTTTATTACTTTAGTTTATATCGACCCTCAGGTTCAAAAGGCTACCTTTCTACGTTACCATGGCAACCAACACTAAAATCCATCTAATTTTGCTACAAAAGCCTCGAAAATCACTTGCAAAACAGTGGTACCATTTAATCATCTAGACGTGCCCCAAGACATGGGTAAAAACATGAGTAAAAACTTATGTATGTACATTTATTCGACATTGTTGAAAGCTGAGTGACGTCACTTCATCACGTGATAAACCCTATAAAACTACTCATTTGACGTGGTTATCATACATTAAAATAAACTAGAGGATTCATAGTTTTTAAAAATATAAGCCACTCTTTGTCCCTCTTTTTGGTACCAAATCATCAAATTTGGGGTCCTGGCCCATGGACTATTACGTTCGTTAAAAGAAGGGGACTCACTATTCACACATTGCCCTGCAGAGCCAAAGGGAATAAGCATTTGGGGTATGGAAAATGGCCAAAAAATATTTATTGATTGTGAGAAATACATATTTTCTTTTACCGTTTCTGATGATGGGTCACTGATTGCTTTTTCGAATCTTGACGTAGACCACTCTGGTACAATTACTGTTTTTGACTCAAAACGCCCTTCTCGTTTGTATGTTATACTACCCGACCCCTTGGGTTATTTCGTGTCTGGATTGTTACGCTTCACATCGGATAACAACACTCTTGTTTGTGGCTTTCTACACAAAAAATGCGCAGATGAAGATGAAAATTATTGCCTTTATTGCGACTTAAGATTCTGTTATGACGCTACCGGAGAACCTGAATTGATCTTCCTTAGGCCTTTAAATGCATATAACTCTCATTTTGAAAAAGTTGAACGTAGACCCTTCATATTGTGGCCCTGTGGTCAATCACGTAATTTAAAGAACACCGGTTTTCTTGAGCAGGACCACGGCTTTTTCTGGAGCAAAAAAATTCAGAGAAGAATTCCAAATTTATGTACGGGTTCTTCCATCCTACTTGACGATGAAACAGTATTGGCTGGTAGCCCGGATCACAACTATGTTATGATGTTAAATGTTGGCGTACTAAAGAGTGAACCTGATTTCACGGACACGAACACAATAATCGACTTGCATAAAAGAGAAATTGTATTTTCTCTGGAAGGAGATACGATCTACTTCATTATTTCTGAAAAATCCATGTTGTTGTCATCTCCTCCTTCTTCAATCACTATCTGGAGAATGTCAACTCGAGAAATCCTGACGTCAAAGACATTCTCTGGTCCTACATCTATCGCTCCAATGAAGACAGGTGTCGTACTCGTTACTACTGAAAAACCGCGGATAATAGCAGAACTCTGGAATTTCGATCTGTCTGAGTGTAATCAACGTATTGTCGAACTTACTTCTAAGACTGCTACGCTATACAGAGTTAACATGTTCCCTGTATCTGATAATCGGATAGCATTCTTTTATCACCCGAGATCATACGAATTAAAATGCATTAGAAGTTTACAAAACCGGAAGGAAAACGAAGAATCGTCCAAAGCAGATTTGTTAGAATGCTCAGATAATAACTTCAGTTGCGTTGACTTCATAGACGTCACCGACCTTGGAGGAAAGCTTATTTCCTCGCTAAGGATCAAATCCGCTGGCGTTAACGAAAGCGTAGACTGCATCCCTTGCAGTAGCAGTTTAAGCCAAGTACGGGTTTGTAGTTCCAGGGTCATAATGATTGGAAATCACGGCCTTGTAGACAAGCAGAATGTAACATTGAGTTTGAGGAATGAAGGTATCACAAGATGGGAAAGACACACGACATTTTCTGCCGATTCAATGCACCTGTTCAACCCAGACATGATTTTTTCGCCCAAAAATGATTGTGTAGTTACGTGGAACACTCTCGACGGGGGCCAAGGTATACACGTTCTTCAGGCGGAAACTGGAGAGACATTGCACGTCTTTCTTAGAGACCAGAAAGATATTGTTCAATGTAAGTTTTTAGATGATGAATCTCTGGTATGCTGCAGTGAGGACAACTTCCTTCGATTGTATAATATCAGAACCGGAGAGCTACTAAGTATTTTAGACATTGGTGAGCGACCGCTCTGTTTGGGGACCTGTTTGTATCAGCCTCTTGTCGCCATTGGTTTGTCCGAGACAAGAATAAAATTCGTCCACGTACAGTTGCCAACAGAATCTAAAACGAAGAAATAAAGGTGAGCCTTTCTCTACTCGGTCAAAAATAGGTACAAGGCCAGTTTCGCGAGTTACTGTAACCTAACAGTACCTGGACGCTTCGAGCAGTCTCCGTAAAATCAGTCCATAAAACGAAAGGCGCGATACACGAAAATGACCAAGCGCGTGACTAAGGGTGGCTCTCTCCTGCACGTGTACTTCCTGCACTAAAAGCATTAATTTGAAGAAAATATGGGACTACTTGCAGCCTAAACCAGGAGCCATAATTAATCATAGCGCCTGGCCTAAACAGTCCCCACACCACAACACGATAAGTAGATATACGTCTAGAGTGAATCTCATTCTTACAAATTTTTGCGCGAAAATTCAGAAATCGTATTCCGCGATTTAGGGGAAACATATACCGAAGTTACAAAGGGTATAATACCATTCTTTGATCTGCTCAGTGAAAAAGACCAGCGCCAAAAAGAAAGAGCCGATCATAAAGTTTAGTGAATGTACCAAAGATGGTTTTGAAAGATTTATACTGTAGGACACAGATGATAGTGAAGCAGAGAGAAAATATGGAAAAATCTAAGAAACAGAACCATGTTTGAATTACCTAAAACAGTAATCGGCTCCGGCCTAAAATCATTGCCATCAAGTCCAAGACTTATAGCAACTTTAATTTAAGAATTATTTTCTGTTGTAACGTGACATAGTATTAAATTTTGAAACTTTAATTTTTATCTCATTCCAGTTTTTGCGAGTAGTAGATTTCGGGATTGTTTTGAATTTGCGAATAACGTGAATTTTAGACTTGATAGCTTCCCGCTTACTTCAATAACACAAGTGACTTTCTGTTCTCAGTTGCAGTTTCAACACAAGTGAATTGAGGAACTTCTGGTGGCCTGTCATAAAGCAGAGCAAAGAGAGCTGGATTCTGCAAATCTGTGACCATGATCTTTAGTCCGGGGGGGGGGGGTCCTAAACAAATTTTTATACAAGTTTGGATTAGAATTTTGATCACAACTCGTCCAGAGAGGAGCATAATAGACGCATTGCGACATTTAGAGCCAATCGAGCTTGAACAAAAGCAAGAAGAGAACTTAAATGACATTCAAACCTTGTTTGAAAATCAACTCAGCAACAAAATTGGAGAAGAGCATAAAGATGTTCTCTTGAAAGAGCTGGTTAAGAAATCAGAAGGTCTGTTTATTTACGCTTATTTTATAGTGGAGTTTATCCAAAAGAATGTTTCAATTCTCACGCCTGATCAGCTGGAAAGCGTATTGCCTTCAGGTATTTCATCCGTTTACTTGTCCTATTTCAAACGGTTAGAGAATGAACTTTGCAAAGAGCTTCATGCAGATGAGGAACATTTTTTGCGTTTCCTGTGTGTATTGACAGCTTCAAGAGAACCATTACCAGTAGAATTCATTGCCAAAATTCTATACCCTGGAGAAAAGTCTTTGACCGCGCAGCGAAAAGTTAACAAAGCAATATGTTGCATCTCTACACTGTTACCAGTTCGCGAGGGTCGCCTTCACTTCTTTCACAAGTCAATCAAGGACTGGTTAACAGCATCATTGCCCTATGAACAACATGATTTCACCGTGGACGAGAAAGAAGGACATGACGTCCTTTCTAATCTTTGTGCTTCTGAACTCGATAGTATCAAGAGAAAAGGGGTTCATGGCAGACAGTTCACCAATACTGAAAGTTATGCTTTGATTCATACTGTCCAGCACATGCTTGAGGCCAATGATGATCATCAATGGATTGACCGTTCAGAGACCATGACTGGCACATCCAATCAGTTATACCAGTATGTGACGGACCTAGAGCTTATTTACGCAAAACTCTGTGTAAATAGAACATCTGCCACGGAGGATCTCTTCCATATTCGCAGTCAACGTTCGGGTCTACTGAATGAGCAAAGAGATTCAGTTGCAACATTGCTCTATAATCTTCTAAGAAAACACTCTTATATTTTGCCGGATTACCCTCATCTTTTTTTCCAGTGTTTGATTAACGAACGGATCCCTGAATTATCGCCTATGGCAGCGAGTTTTGTCGAGTCATCCATTCCCAAAATACCCTGCATGAAAGACCTAGACGATAGTAAGGAACAGACGAGGGGAGCAGATGAAGCAAGGTTCTACTGTTCAGACAATATCGCATGTTTTGATGTTTCACCTAAAATGGATTACTTGGTATGTGAGTGTCGAGATGGAACAATCCATCTGTTTTCCCTGCAGACTGGTACCAAGGTATGGGTTCGTCCATCACCAATAAAGAGAGAGTATGGTTTTAGAAATGAATATCATGTGAATGGCGCATATCATCAGATAGAGATGCATTTTTTGTCATTTTACAATTCTGTCATCTTTCATCCAAATGGGAAGTCGATAATACCTGGAACCCTTCAATATGTTTACACCCTAACTGGAGAGAAAGAAGACCTTTTTCCGGAAAGTGATTGTACGTTCTCAAATTGCGCCTTATAGTCCATGGGCCAATCCTGATTTTGGTACCAATTCGAGGGACAAAGGATGATTGCTGCGAATTGATAGCACATAAGGTGGAGATTGAAAATTTGTATGATAACCTTTCTGTAGGAGTAGCTTTCAAGATATTTTTTCATGTAAAAGTGCCCGAAATGACCTTTGAGGATACTAAACGTGCACTTAAAATGTACTATATCTTTTGTAGTTTAGTTTGTTATGAGAGACATGAGAAGTTTTTTGTTGCGTTTTTTATCGCCAAAATATTATTTGTTCTGAATTTAACCAAAGTAGAGCGAAGGAAACTCAAAAGTAGCGTCCGAATTGCATTATGGGTAAAATCCAAAATGGCGGCTACCATGGCAAGGGTAGTGGGTTCTTGATTTGCCGGTTTAATAGCCATTTAACCATGTAAAACGCAATAATTTCAAGAAAAGTCAGCAAAATCATCTAGTTAATAAAGCGCTAAAACTTTTTGAGGCAAAAGTCTTTGAACTTTTGACTTAATAAACAGAATTTTGGAAATACTTACAGTTCTTGTAGAATGTTCACTTCGATAATCCGATATGTATTTTGCTCATGTCAATCATAAACATCTGTTTATATATTTATAAATTTTGAAATATAATCTAATTTTAGGAATGATCAACCTGTTGCAGTCAACATTATTTGAATTATCGGTTATTCGGTAATGAAAACTCAATATGATATGCCAATTTGTAATACATAGATACATATGGTTTATTTAAACACGATAAAATCATCAGTCTGAGAAGGTTAAGTGAAGTAAAAAGGATATAAAGACTACGTACACCTGAATGGCTCACATGATTGCCCTGTGCTGGGAAACAGAAAACTAGAAAGCTAACTGGTTTACTTCCCTTTTGAATTGACATAGCGATGTTATTCTTCGTATGTTTTTTGTGGTAACTCATTCCAAATCATGGCACCGCTATGAAAAAAAACTTTTGGAAGTCCAGACTTTCGTAAATTATAACATAACGTATGTGCTGTTATGTCCCTGTTTATTGCATTTGCATTGCGACTTAAACACTGAAAACTCTGATACAAAAAGGGTCCTTATCTAAGAAGGAGTGTTGATGATGCTGAGGAGTCAAATGCAGTCAAACGTTTCTGCAAGAAGAAGTGGATCATTCACTGTACCGACGATAGCAGTGATTTAGTTAATCCTAAAGACGAGGAGTCGTGGAAAACCTTGCTACGTGCAGCACAGATTCGAAATCACCAAGAAATCGTACAAATTTCGAAGTCTTTAAGAGACGGAGAAGTTTCGAGTTTCGCTCATTTACTACCATCGAAAGTGTCGAAGCATTTTTACAATGAAAAATGTATTAGATAAATTATCCCGACAATCATCCAATAGCCAGACTCACCAGGAACAAGTGGCTAGGAGAGTCTCTATTCGAGGATCTTCCAATATTTCCACAACATACGAGCGCATTTGTATTTTTTGCGAAAAGCCAAAATATTCAAGGGTACAAGGAATCGTGAGCCTTTAGTACAATGCCGAGATATGCGTGCAGATAGCTCTATCAGAAAGATTGCTACACAAAAGAATGACAGCAAGATTCTCGCCTTGTGTCGCACGAATTAGTTGCAGCAGAGGCTTGTTATCACAGGACATGCTAAAGGAGCTACACTAGACCAGAAGCAAGCAGCAGTGTGAACCCTGATATGAGCAGTGAATCTTCGGATGATGAATACGCCCGTCTAGAGTCTGATGCTTACTAGATGCTTTTTGACTTTATAAGATCAGATGAGATAGAAAATTAGAAAAACGTAACGCTGCTTGAGATGACCCAGTTACTTGTAGAGTATCTAATGTCATTAGGGGCTAAGGAATGTAAGCCATCAACAAAGAAGCATATCAAAAGGAACATAGAAGCAGAATTCAATGAATTGATCAAGTTTGAAAAATTGCTAAATAGCAACCGTGTATTCCTAATCCCTGCTAACCTAACGCCAGTGCAAATCGCCAGAAATGTACTAAATATCCTTATGGCAGAAAAAGAACTAGAAACCAAAGGTTCAACAATGAAGATCTCCAATATTCAGAAAGCTGCGGCTGACATCCGCGATGCTATTCTAAACAAAGAAAGCAAAATGTCATGGCCACCGCGCCCTTCAGAGCTCAATGACAGTGCGTTTTTCCATACCTTGCTGACTGGCAGCAAGTATTCGTTAGAGATAATGTTCTCAAAGAGTCCAGCGGTTGACGAAGTCTTTCGCGCAAGACCTGGTATTTGGAGTAACCAGAGGGAGGATTAAGCCACCTAAATAAATTCTTCTGTGGTATGCTGTAAAAACTCTCACAAACAATGTAGAGCTAGTGTCTATTCTAAACCGTTATGTTCATGGTATTTCTTATTCCCAGCTTGAATATGCAGGTGAGCGTCAAGGCCCTAAGCCAAGAACATATGTTGAAGTAAATTACCAGGAAGCGTTAGAAAATACCCGAAGGAAAAACCTTTTGTGGGTTTTAGTGCGCCTTCTTTCATTTCTCTCAGGCAGCCAGATCGGATTACAGCACATTGATTGTGGTATTAGAAGATACAGATGTCTTTATTTTTTGAGTGTCATTCAAGTACTTAATTCCGTCTTCAATAGTTTTCAAGTGTGGAACACAAACAAGAGTTAGATACATCAGCATCACGAGTATAGTGCAAGCCATAGGTCAAAATTTGTGCAGCAGTCTCCCTGGCATGCACGCTTATACCGGTTGCGACACAGTAAGTGCCTTTGCTGGACGGGGTAAGGAACAGAGATCCTTTCAGGAAATGTTTGACCTCTTAGGAATGGAATGGGAATACTCATATAATCTATTCCAGATGCTTCAGAATTTCACCTGTCGTACGTACAGTTCCCGCCCAGGGACAAACAGCATCAATGAGCTAAGATATAGATTGTTCTGTTCAAAGAGATATAACAACGAGTCCGACCAACTACCGCCTTGCGCTGATTGCCTGTATAAACATGCGTGTCCAGCAAACTAGCAAACAGGAATGTGGAGGCGAAGAATTGACTCTGCCCTGAAATTTCGAGTCCCTTAAGACATGGCTGGATTCAGGATGAGAACAAGTTAGGGATTGATTGGATGAGTGGTCAGCCAGCTCCCGCAACAGTTTTACAGCTACTTTCTTGTTCTTGCACCAAATCTTGTATAGGCTCCCGAACTATAGCTGCCTTGCGAATGGTCTTAAGTGCACAGACAAGTGCCCGCTCTCCAATTGTGACAACAGGCGAGAAAAACAAGCTGTCACAGTAGAAGTCGATGGTGACGAGGACTAGAATATGTGGTCTGATTCTGTTTTTCAGCATTATTTCCTTTGGCTGTCGACATGATAAATAAAATGTGCGTGGATTTATTGACCACAGAAGAATATAGTCATTGCTAGTCGTTGCTACATTTAAACATATGACTTGCCAAATGTACACCCAAAATACATAAAAAACAAATGGTCATTGTAAGAGGAATTATAATCTTTTGCATGTCAACCTCGGATGTCCAAAAAGCATGACTTCACAGAAAAACTACAATTAGCACCGGTACTTTTGCTAAAGATATGGAGAAATCTCTAGCAAAGAGGAAGAGTTTGCATCTATAATGTTTTAGTTTACAGCTTTAAGAGCAGCTTCTTTCACAGCTTGAATATGAGGATTCTGCATGTTACTTTCTTGGGCACTTTAGGGGACAAAATTGGCATGTTTGGAAATCAAAGGTGGCGGATCCAATATGGCCGCCAAATAGGTAATTTCATATTATAGCAGCGCCATAGGTAGCTATAACACCTGAGTTAAGCTAGTATCCAGTTGTCATCTAGAACAGATTTTTAGCAAACAATTTATCTTTATTACTTTAGTTTATATCGACCCTCAGGTTCAAAAGGCTACCTTTCTACGTTACCATGGCAACCAACACTAAAATCCATCTAATTTTGCTACAAAAGCCTCGAAAATCACTTGCAAAACAGTGGTACCATTTAATCATCTAGACGTGCCCCAAGACATGGGTAAAAACATGAGTAAAAACTTATGTATGTACATTTATTCGACATTGTTGAAAGCTGAGTGACGTCACTTCATCACGTGATAAACCCTATAAAACTACTCATTTGACGTGGTTATCATACATTAAAATAAACTAGAGGATTCATAGTTTTTAAAAATATAAGCCACTCTTTGTCCCTCTTTTTGGTACCAAATCATCAAATTTGGGGTCCTGGCCCATGGACTATTACGTTCGTTAAAAGAAGGGGACTCACTATTCACACATTGCCCTGCAGAGCCAAAGGGAATAAGCATTTGGGGTATGGAAAATGGCCAAAAAATATTTATTGATTGTGAGAAATACATATTTTCTTTTACCGTTTCTGATGATGGGTCACTGATTGCTTTTTCGAATCTTGACGTAGACCACTCTGGTACAATTACTGTTTTTGACTCAAAACGCCCTTCTCGTTTGTATGTTATACTACCCGACCCCTTGGGTTATTTCGTGTCTGGATTGTTACGCTTCACATCGGATAACAACACTCTTGTTTGTGGCTTTCTACACAAAAAATGCGCAGATGAAGATGAAAATTATTGCCTTTATTGCGACTTAAGATTCTGTTATGACGCTACCGGAGAACCTGAATTGATCTTCCTTAGGCCTTTAAATGCATATAACTCTCATTTTGAAAAAGTTGAACGTAGACCCTTCATATTGTGGCCCTGTGGTCAATCACGTAATTTAAAGAACACCGGTTTTCTTGAGCAGGACCACGGCTTTTTCTGGAGCAAAAAAATTCAGAGAAGAATTCCAAATTTATGTACGGGTTCTTCCATCCTACTTGACGATGAAACAGTATTGGCTGGTAGCCCGGATCACAACTATGTTATGATGTTAAATGTTGGCGTACTAAAGAGTGAACCTGATTTCACGGACACGAACACAATAATCGACTTGCATAAAAGAGAAATTGTATTTTCTCTGGAAGGAGATACGATCTACTTCATTATTTCTGAAAAATCCATGTTGTTGTCATCTCCTCCTTCTTCAATCACTATCTGGAGAATGTCAACTCGAGAAATCCTGACGTCAAAGACATTCTCTGGTCCTACATCTATCGCTCCAATGAAGACAGGTGTCGTACTCGTTACTACTGAAAAACCGCGGATAATAGCAGAACTCTGGAATTTCGATCTGTCTGAGTGTAATCAACGTATTGTCGAACTTACTTCTAAGACTGCTACGCTATACAGAGTTAACATGTTCCCTGTATCTGATAATCGGATAGCATTCTTTTATCACCCGAGATCATACGAATTAAAATGCATTAGAAGTTTACAAAACCGGAAGGAAAACGAAGAATCGTCCAAAGCAGATTTGTTAGAATGCTCAGATAATAACTTCAGTTGCGTTGACTTCATAGACGTCACCGACCTTGGAGGAAAGCTTATTTCCTCGCTAAGGATCAAATCCGCTGGCGTTAACGAAAGCGTAGACTGCATCCCTTGCAGTAGCAGTTTAAGCCAAGTACGGGTTTGTAGTTCCAGGGTCATAATGATTGGAAATCACGGCCTTGTAGACAAGCAGAATGTAACATTGAGTTTGAGGAATGAAGGTATCACAAGATGGGAAAGACACACGACATTTTCTGCCGATTCAATGCACCTGTTCAACCCAGACATGATTTTTTCGCCCAAAAATGATTGTGTAGTTACGTGGAACACTCTCGACGGGGGCCAAGGTATACACGTTCTTCAGGCGGAAACTGGAGAGACATTGCACGTCTTTCTTAGAGACCAGAAAGATATTGTTCAATGTAAGTTTTTAGATGATGAATCTCTGGTATGCTGCAGTGAGGACAACTTCCTTCGATTGTATAATATCAGAACCGGAGAGCTACTAAGTATTTTAGACATTGGTGAGCGACCGCTCTGTTTGGGGACCTGTTTGTATCAGCCTCTTGTCGCCATTGGTTTGTCCGAGACAAGAATAAAATTCGTCCACGTACAGTTGCCAACAGAATCTAAAACGAAGAAATAAAGGTGAGCCTTTCTCTACTCGGTCAAAAATAGGTACAAGGCCAGTTTCGCGAGTTACTGTAACCTAACAGTACCTGGACGCTTCGAGCAGTCTCCGTAAAATCAGTCCATAAAACGAAAGGCGCGATACACGAAAATGACCAAGCGCGTGACTAAGGGTGGCTCTCTCCTGCACGTGTACTTCCTGCACTAAAAGCATTAATTTGAAGAAAATATGGGACTACTTGCAGCCTAAACCAGGAGCCATAATTAATCATAGCGCCTGGCCTAAACAGTCCCCACACCACAACACGATAAGTAGATATACGTCTAGAGTGAATCTCATTCTTACAAATTTTTGCGCGAAAATTCAGAAATCGTATTCCGCGATTTAGGGGAAACATATACCGAAGTTACAAAGGGTATAATACCATTCTTTGATCTGCTCAGTGAAAAAGACCAGCGCCAAAAAGAAAGAGCCGATCATAAAGTTTAGTGAATGTACCAAAGATGGTTTTGAAAGATTTATACTGTAGGACACAGATGATAGTGAAGCAGAGAGAAAATATGGAAAAATCTAAGAAACAGAACCATGTTTGAATTACCTAAAACAGTAATCGGCTCCGGCCTAAAATCATTGCCATCAAGTCCAAGACTTATAGCAACTTTAATTTAAGAATTATTTTCTGTTGTAACGTGACATAGTATTAAATTTTGAAACTTTAATTTTTATCTCATTCCAGTTTTTGCGAGTAGTAGATTTCGGGATTGTTTTGAATTTGCGAATAACGTGAATTTTAGACTTGATAGCTTCCCGCTTACTTCAATAACACAAGTGACTTTCTGTTCTCAGTTGCAGTTTCAACACAAGTGAATTGAGGAACTTCTGGTGGCCTGTCATAAAGCAGAGCAAAGAGAGCTGGATTCTGCAAATCTGTGACCAT